AGCAACATAAGAAGGTAAAGGATTCAGTTAAAACCGTTGGAAACAAAACGCGGCGTTTTGCTGCGTCAAATTAGACATTCAAAGCGCTTTGTTTGGTCGCTTCAAATATTTTTTGTTGATACATTCATAAATAAGTCTAGTGGTGGTGGTGATACTCCTTGATTTTGCTTGTGTCACACGATTATTTATTATTTTGTTTATTTTTTGAGTATTGATTTGTAATTTTATTTGAGTTTAATACGAGATTTTTATATTTGTAATTTGGATTATAGACTCTAAAGTTAAAGTATACTCAACCTCTTGTTCCACATTAAAGTTTTAAATTCACAAGTTTACGACCCTAGACGATTTGGGGGAAAAGGCCAATTAGTACCTCAACACCATCATCTGGTACCAATAAATACATAAACAATTTTGATAAGTTAATAAGTACCTGAACTTATTAAAATCGGTAAATACATACTTCAATAATGTTTTTTGGCCAATTAGTACATTGACTTTCTCTTTCTCTCTTTTAGTCAAATCTGTTAATTTGCAAACGGAATCCGACTCAGATGCCACGGTGGATGCTGTGTTCGAATGAAACCAATACGACGTCATTTAAAGTTAAAAATCAGGAGAAAAAGACAAAAAACGACGTCGTTTTAAATTTATTACACATTAAAAAAATCAAAAGGGAAAAAACCACCCGACGTTTATAACATTTGCTATAAAAATACTTGAACTATTTTCGTTGTCGGAAAAATACCTAACGTTATTTAGACTACCATTTTAATACCCAAACATTCAAAAATCGAAAGTTTCATCCCTCGACTTAAACTCATTTAAATCGTTAAACGGAATCTGTTAAGCACCGTTTAGTCCTTAATCCCCCACATGTTTTTTTCCATTCGAAAAGACCACTGTTGCCCTTTCTCGTAATCCAATTTCCCCCAAATTATCGAAGAACCCTAAATCATTTTCCCCAAATTAAACTCCAATCGATTTTCCCCCAAATCTAAACCCTAATCCGTAAACGTCGTCTCTCCCAAAATTGATCTTCTGTATCGACTCTCCTATCGACATTTATTCACCCAATTGTTCTCATTCTTCACCTCACTGTAGAAGACTCGAGACTCGAAGGAAAGATGAAGTATGTGTTTCAAATTTTGATGTCGGGATGTTTAGAGTTGTAAATTGTGTCGATTAGGTTCGATTTAGTCTGTTGTATGTCCCGATTAGCTTGTTTAGAGATGTGGGGTTTACAATTTAGGGTTCTTTGTCAGCCCAGATGAAGAAACCATGTGTATTACATTTGAAAAATCTTCTACCAGGATTATCATCTGTCCATGATTTCACCATGACCGTCGGTTGTTTGCAGTGACAAAGGGGACCTTCCATCTGGGCGTAGGTCGGGTTGAAAGAGCTTGCAGACGAGATTGAGTTTTCCATTCTGGTGTGAAGTAATCAAAAGAAGCGATAGATGTTAGAAGAGAATTAGGGTTCTTCAAATGGGGAAGAACTAAGAAGGAAAAAATCGATTTTAAGGGCAACAGTGGTCTTTTCGAATGGAAAAAAACACGTGGGGGATTAAGGATTAAACGGTGCTTAACAGATTCCGTTTAACGATTTAAATGAGTTTAAGTCGAGGGATGAAACTTTCGATTTTTGAATGTTTGGGTATTAAAATGGTAGTCAAAATAACGTTAGGTATTTTTCAAGCAACGAAAATAGTTCAGGTATTTTTATAGCAAATGTTATAAACGTCGGGTTTTTAAAAGGTTTTTTCCCAAATCAAAATTGAAATTTTCGATTTGATTTTCCGAAAGTGTTTGAATCAAAATCAAAACCAAAATTGCAAACCTAAACCTACCATGAATCTCCGAAAAAGCGTTAGCATTCGACAATGAAGTCATTCCGATTTGATTTTAAACACCACCAAATCCTAACTATCGATGTTTTTCTCCCACGAAAAAAGATATAGATGGTGTATTTTTTTTAATGGATAATAAATTTAAAATGACGTCATTTTTGTCTTTTTTTTCCAGATTTTTAACCTTAAACGGCGTCATATTGGTTTCATTCGAATAGAGCATCCACGGTGGTATCCAAGTCGGATTCCGTTTGCAAATTAACATGTTTGACTAACAGACATAAAGTCAGTGTACTTATTGGCCACAAAAATATTGTTGAGATATGTATTTACCGATTTTAATAAGTTCAGGTATTGATTAACCTATCAAAATTGTTTGGGTATTTATTGGTACAAGATAATAGTGTTGAGATACTAATCGGCCTTTTTCCCAGACGATTTCATATTCTCATGTTTTAAGGACTGGTCCACACCTAATTTGGTGTATTAGATTGGTAATAGAAATAAAGTTGACGAATTAATATGGAATTTTCCCTAAATTTATAATCAAAAGTTGGATGCATGAACAGTTATATCTCATTCATTTTCCCTTTGACCAGTCTTGTTAAGAAATTTTGTAGTTACTATATCTATACTTTTTTCTATGTCCAGAGATATGAAATTGAGAGGTGGTCGTTAATTGTTTTTAAATTTTAACCAAGTTTACGACTTATATAGTTGTTCTATTTTTATAATCTTTCAATCAATAAGAAATAATTTTATATATAACGTTTTACAACTGTATGTGCTATGTATGATGATAAATTTGATTTACTGTAAAATTTTCTACCTCTATGGCAAATTCATACTATATATGTTTTGTGAACGAAAATGAGTTTGATATATGATGGATATATATCCATAAACACGTCACTAGTCCAATCTTTTTCTTATATTTATTTATATTAGTGACTTTTGAAGAAATTTTATATTTTCTTAGCTGATACTGGTTTTAGTTTGTAAACAAGAATCTCACCGTCACTAAAGCTACAAATCGTGTAGAGAGGTATGTGATATTTTTAATGCCTTACATGTACACAATATTATATGTCAAGAACAAAATTCTGATATGAAATTCTACTTAATTATTTTTTATTATTATTGAGCACCCACATATATAATACTGTGCAGGTTCTAAACTAATATACCATATACGTTGAACATTTGTTTTCTTTTTGTGTTACTGAACAAGATGATATTTTGTTTCTGTTACAATTTAATAAGAATAGAAAAAGGTTTAAACCTTCAAGTATAACAGAATGGGTGAACAATAAAATCATGAGTAGAGGGAAAAGGTTAATTAATCCTTAAAGAAATTCTATCGTTTTTAATCGTAACTACCTTTCCAAAAATTATATAATTAGTAATCACACAGATAGAAAAAAAAAACAGAAAAAAATCTAACTAAAAAAAGGATATAGGTTTAGGAAGGGGTTAGAGAATTTTTGCCCATATAAAAGACATGTTAAACATTTGTTTTCCTTTGGCTCTCTCTTTCACGAGAAAGTTCCATAAGTCCCTCCACAGCAAAAGAGCCTCTCCTGAATTTCATAACCCTAATTAGATTTGCTCTGCACGATTCTGAAATTCTTTGATTGTGATGTTGTTATTCTTTATTAATTTCTTCAGCTGTAGGACTTTGAATAAGTCTGTAAATATTCATTTTTTATATTGAATATTTCAATAGAAACCCAAAAAAAAATAGTTTTTTTTTCTTTTGGTTTGAAACAAGACATTATAAAGTTGGAGTCGCCGGCAAGTTATGACAGACGGAGGCTGTTTCGATATTCAGACAATGTTGTTCGGTCGTAAATCATCGAGCAAGTTACAGGTAAAAATTGTTCTTATTTCTTGATTGATTTTTGATTATTCATACCCACAATAAAAAAACCTTTTCATATATTTAGGAAATCATTCAAATGATTTATAAAAAAAGTCCAAGTTTTAATATGTTTCTTGTCCCTTGGATTATTTACAAAAGGCCATACCAGAGTTCTCATTCAATCAAGATTTTGTTGATTTTAGATCTTCTTGCTCACATATAACCATCATCATAAAGTCTGTATCTTTTGTTCATATAATCACTGTATATCTAATTTTTGTTAGGAAATGTTTCTTACCCTCCTTTCTCTGTTTTCTTGTTTTCTTAGATGGTTTGAAACATGGATAAAACTCTATGATGATCAATAATAAAAGAACTAACAATTTTTCATAATGACATTTTTCAGAAAATAAAAGGTCAATCATCGCCTAAAGTGAGCAAGATCAACAAGCAGGATATTAAACCTTCTTCTTCTTCTTCTTCTTCTTCTTCTTCTTCTTCTTCTTCACCTAAACCTTCTTCTTCACCAATACCAATTAGATCATCTAAGTCGATATTATCCTCTAGCCAACTAACATCATCAAGACGTGTTTCTTCGAATTCATCGCCTTTAAGCATAATCAAGAATGTTTCTATTAGAGAAGCTAAGAGCCCCAAGACGAGCAGCTCACCTAAATGGACAGGAAACTTTATTCTTATGGTCGAGCTTCGAAGGAAGATCTTTACCTTTAGAGACATCATTGATCTTCCTCCTCTTGACGGTTCTCCCTCCATAACCGATGTGCGTAAACCCGGAAACTAATCCTTCGTAATTCAATCCTCTATATGTTATTTTGACTCCATTGCTTGTTTTTGTTGTGTAGATGGTGATGCATACAATGAAAGATCTCAAGAATCTTTGTCCTGAGATTATCCACAACTCACATATCTCGGAAATTAGACGCGCAAATGTAGATAAGGTATTCAAGTATATATGAGTTCCTCTGTTCTGTGTTCATATACACCTTGAGTCTAACCAAATGTTTTTTTTCCTACAGGTTCTTGACCATTTCTTTAATGCTTTGAAATCCATTGGAGATTCATGGATCGATAACCCTGAATGGATAGCTAAATCCAAGTATTGGACTAGCAGCGTCGGGAAGAATCAGTCTGATCGATTAGGTAACCAGAATTATTACCTTCACATGCAAGAAATCATCTAAGAATCTTTGAAAATGTTAAGTTTTCTTTTGCAGTGGAAAAGGTGTTAGCAGCATTAGATGGACTGATCAAGATGTCCAAAGAGAGATTTGATATGATGGAGATTGATGATGAAGAAGAGAAGAAAGAGCTCATTAGTCCACAGACTACTAAAACGCCGAGCAGCCGAGTCTTATCTCCTTCTGAATCATTCTCCGATAGCAGAAACTCGTTTTGCGGGTCACCAATCACTCCAAGATCGGTTCTACCAGAACCGATGATGGGTTCACCGGGAAAAAATGGAGACTTTGCAAACTCTGCATCACATCTACTGTGGAACATGAGAGTTCAAGCACTCGAGAAGCTTAGTCCTATCGATGTTAAGCGACTCGCTATCCACATTTTGTCTCAGAAAGAAGCTCAAGAACCAAATCAAAGCAACGTAGAAGATGAGATAAATTCTGTTGAAGAGATCAAGATGAATAAGAATGAAAAAGAGAGCATTGATGTGAAGATGGAGACAGAAGAATCTGTTGTTCTTGATGAGCAAGAAGATACTATCATGCAAAATTCTTCACTGGATTCAACATCTGAATCCAAACTCAATATTTCAGAGAAATCTGAGATTGCGCCGGAATCTTTGTCTCCTCCTCCATCCACAACTAAAGTAGCATCTTTACCTTCTCCGCCGCCTCCACCTCCTCCTCCTCCGTCACCACCGCTCATTTCAAAGGCTGACGTGGTGGTTGTGTCATCTCTGCCACCTTCTCCGCCACCGCCTCCACCACCGCTTATGCCTTTAAAAGGCTCTGCTCCACCACCACCACCGCCTCCTCCACCTCCAGCAAATGCAGCGCCCCCACCACCACCGCCTCCACCTCCAAGAAATGCGGTGGTCCCACCACCGCCGCCTCCACCTCCACTAACTACGGCGGCGCCATCACCGCCACCTCCACTTATGCAAAACAGAGCTCCACCGCCACCGCCAATGCCTATGAGGAATAGCACAAGTGGCGGACCACCGCCTCCACCACCTCCTATGCCTCTAGCAAACGGAGGAGCACCTCCTCCACCACCACCTCCTATGGCTATGGCAAACGGAGCAGCACCGCCACCTCCACCACCTCGAATGGGTATGGCGAACGGAGCGGCGGCTCCACCGCCACTACCAGGAGCAGGGAGAAGCTTGAGACCCAAGAAAGCAGCTACAAAACTGAAAAGGTCAACCCAATTAGGGAACCTTTACAGAATCCTTAAAGGAAAAGTAGAAGGGCGTGATCCTGAGGCAAGAACAGGCGGCGGAGGAGGAAGAAAAGCCGGAGTTGGAAGCGCTCCTGCCGGTGGAAAACAAGGAATGGCAGATGCACTTGCTGAGATCACAAAGAAATCTGCATATTTCCAGCAAATACAAGAAGATGTTGCAAAATACATGAAATCAATCAATGAGCTGAAGATTGAAATCACTAAGTTCCAGACTAAAGACATGACTGAGCTTCTTGCTTTCCACCGTCGCGTCGAGTCAGTTCTTGAAAAGCTAACAGATGAGACACAAGTAAGCAACATTATAAGAACATCTTTATTACCAGTCGCTTCTATATCCTCTGTTTTCTTTTTGTGATTCTTGATTGCGAAAATGTTTTAGGTTCTTGCGCGATGCGAAGGGTTTCCGCAGAAGAAACTAGAAGCAATAAGAATGGCGGCTGCATTATACTCGAAGCTTCACGGTATGATCACTGAGCTACAAAACTGGAAGATAGAACCTCCTTTGAATCAACTTCTTGATAAAGTAGAACGTTACTTCACAAAGGTAACCTCTTCATCAAAATTTATTCCCTTTATTCCTAATTTCAAATAATTTCAAGAAAATATAAAGATCCAAATTTAATAATTAAACAGATTAAAGGAGACATCGACACGCTGGATCGAACCAAAGATGAGGAAGCTAAGAAATTCCAGAGCCACAACATTCACTTTGACTTCAATATACTTCTTCAGATCAAAGAGACAATGGTTGATATCTCATCGAACTGCATGGAACTCGCATTGAAGGTAATTAACAGCTAGAAATATCAAAACCCTTTTTTTTGTTTTCTTGTTCTTTAGTTAATCGGCTCAAAATAAAATTCACAGGAAAAGAGAGATGAAAAGCTTGTCTCGCCTGACGCGAAGCCGAGCATGAAGAAGACTGTAGGATGTGCTAAAATGCTTTGGAGGGCATTTCAGTTTGCTTTCAAAGTCTACACTTTTGCTGGAGGACACGACGATCGAGCTGATTCGTTAACCAAAGAGTTGGCTCATGAGATCCAAACTGATACTACTCAGAACCCATGATGATTTCGCAACTATTACTACTCCTTTTTGCCTTCTTCAACATCTTAAAAATATTCCAAAATATTTGAACAATAAAAGAGTATATGTATATGTAAAAGATGTAACCTATTGTTTTGACTTTTGAGTTGTAATTTTGAAGCCCCCTCAAAAAAAATATTAGGATTTAGAGGTTTCATGGGAGCTCGGAGATGCAGAGTCGTTTTGTGTGAAAGGCTTCAAAAACCTTTTAAGTCAAGGATGACATTTGTGTTGCCACACAATATGTAATATTGTTTTGTTGTTATAAACTTTTTCTTTCTTTACTTTTATTTGTAAACTACGAGTCTAAATGTTGACGACAAAACCTGGGTAAAGATATGATAATAACAGAATATTAGCTAAAAATGATGGCGATTTTTCTTTTTTTCTCACGTTAGCTCACGCTAGGAACGATTTCAGTTATCACCTCAAAATCAAAATCGCAAAAGCTCAACATTCTATCATAGCATTTTCTAATGGAAAAGCCAACATTCGTGGTCTTTTTCCATATATATGGACTGGCGGGAAGCTTGACCTACAGAGTTTTATATGGTGATGTTTGTTAACTGAGATAACCCGAACGGGTTCTCCCTTTTTCTTTATTAATATCTATTCTAAACCAATTTAAACCAAAAAGAAACCTATATAAACCCTCTCCTAATTATTTTTCCCCTAAACCTAGCCCCTCTCTCTCTTTTTTCTTCTCTCCTAATTATGCTTGCTGGGGCTGAGGGATGTCTATAGGGATCGTCATTTCTCAACGTCGGGAGGGTTATGGCTATATCCGTGTGATCGTAATAGTGAGCCTTGGCGTGCTGATACGTCAGCTCCTGTAATTGGATGTGGTATCAGACGTGCAAGATGAGAACCAGTAGAGCACTTTGCTCTTGCTTGAAAATTGAGTTGATAATGAGAAATGGTATATGAACGATGAGGATCGTGAATTATCATTACCAAGGTTAATGATGATTGATAGTGAAAAATGAAAATGGAATTATTTAAGAAAACCTGATTGATTGTTTAATTGGAAATAGTTAGTAATTAATTACTATATATTTTTTCTTTGAGCTTTTAGCTTGTTTTAAGTTTAGACTTTTCATATGTTATTTATGTCTGGAAATGATAAACGGTTCTCTCTAAAACTTGTCTTTACTGAGTGATCCTAATTACACACCCCTTTCGCTTCCTTTTTATCATTCCAGGTTAGTTTCAATCGTTTTATCTAATGTTGTTGTTGTTACACGGACTTTTCATTCATGGCAGACCTGCTAAAATGTTGTTTCACAGGTAAATGATGCAGCAAAAAGAGAAGAAGAGAAAGTGTTCAACTTTTTGGATGTTTAAGTACAAATCAACCTTGATCCAAAAAAATAATAATGTGAAAACTCAATTCGAATCTTCTGCTTTGTTCTCGATTAAGAACTCTTTGATCTGTTTTTATTTGATGAGAAGAGAAAGAAGAAGAAAGTAGAAGAGCACAACACGCGTTTTAACAAGTTCGGGTCCTTAACCGGATCCCTACGTCTCACCGGTGATTTCTCCACCGGAATCCACTAGATCGGTAAACTCGCCGGGAAATACAGGTTATCGTCTCTCTCTCTCACCCCCGATATAACAGACTTCTGTAACGGCTAGTCAACTCTCCCCCAGTCATAAGATGACCAACGATAAAGAGACACCTATCCTAGTGGACCTAACAATAGAGATACTCTACACTAATCAGAGTCTCTATCACACTTAAACACTATCAGCTAGTGCTTAACCGAAGCATCACTTTAGCTTCTTCTGGATACTTGATTGCTGTCTATCCTTCAAATCTCCACCTTAGACACGATCAACAGACTTCTCCGGTGGAATCCCCTTGCATCCTTGACAGGATACTCGCATCCTTAACCGGATGCTGCCTTTCTATTCTTTAGAAATCTGAAGCATCTTCAATGCTTCTCTTAACTTGTAAACTGGTAAAAACTTTGTAAATGCATCAGCTGGATTATAAGCAGTACCAATCTTCAGAACCTGAACTTCGCCTGCATTGATCAAATCCCTGATAAAATGATATTTAACCGCGACAATGCTATTACACTCTGAGAATCGCAATATATCTTTACTGAATCTTGAGGAAAACCAAGCTCTTCTGCAAACCTTTTTAACCAAACTCCATCACGAACTGCCTTTGACAGAGCTACATACTCAGCCTCTGTAGTTGAAAGTGCAACGACCTTTTGCAGAGACAATATCCGGCTCACAGTATTGCCACCAGCCGTAAACACTATACCAGTTATAGACCTCCGATTATCCTGATCTGCTGCATAGTGTGCATCAACATATCCTTTGACAACAAAACCACCTCTGTTATTGAAGCATAAGGTCGTTTCGATTGACCATTTAATATATCTAAGAACCCACTTAACAGCTTTCCAATGTTCTCTAATTAGTTTAGTCATGAAACAACTGATGAGGCCTATAGGATAAGCAAGATCGGGCCTTTTCCCCACCATAGCATACATGATACTATCCACTGCACTTTGATACGGAACACTCTCCATAAACTCCACCTGTTCGCGAAGTTCTTTCTCTGAAGCCGACTTGAGCTTGAAATGAGCACCCATGGGAGTAGACACTGACTTTGTCTGATCCATGTTAAACGTACTGAGCACCTTCATTAGATAGCTCTCCTGAGATATCCACAAACCTCCATTGATTCTGTCTCGAACCATTTCCATGCCCAAAATCTTCTTAGCATCACCAAGATCGTTCATCTCAAACTCATTGCTTAGAAGTTTCTTAAGTTCAACCACTTGTAACTTGTCAACTGAAACCACAAGAATATCATCCACATATAATAACAGATATATGTAGAGTCCATTTCTAAATCTCTTAAAGTATAAACACTGATCATATTCACTCCGAAGATATCCATTTTTCCTCATAAAGTCATCAAACCTTTTGTTGCATTGTCTGAGAGATTGTTTAAGACCATATAAGGATCTCTTGAGTTTACAAACCTTATCAGGATACCTCTTGTCAATATAACCTTCTGCTCCATGACAATGAACTCATCTAGATGCCCATTGAGAAATGCTGTTTTAACATCTAGTTGTTGGAGTTCCATGTTATAGTAAACCACTGCAGAAAGCAGGTATCGGATCGATACATGTTTCATTACAAGAGCAAATATTTTCTGTGTAATCTATTCCTTCTTTCTGAGAGAACCCTTTTGCTACTAACCGAGCTTTGTACCTCGGACTTTCAACTCCTGCTATCCCTGGTTTTCTCTTGAATATCCATTTACAGCCTATAGCTCTTTGATTCTTTGGTCTGTCTATTAGATCCCAGGTGTGATTCTTGTTGAGGGACAACATTTCCTTGTCCGCAGCTGCTAACCACTTATCACTATCTGAATCACTCATAGCTTCTTGAAATGTAGATGGTTCTAAACCACCATCCTCAGACATAGCACAGATGTACCCAGCATACTCATTGTCGCCAGCATCATCATCACACTGATAGTCCTCTAGCCGAGCTGGCCTTGTGGTCTGTCTCCTAGTTCTGTCCTGAGCTAGCTGGTACCCATCTAGACTTGTAGTTTCACTAACAACCTGATCACCATCTGATAAAACTTGCTCATGAGTAACTCCACCTTGAGCGATATCTCCTGATGAGTCATGTTTCTCCGTGAATTCCAAGTTAACCTTTTATGTTCCTTCAGTTTGATCACTACTGGCAGTAGACTCTATCTTGATATCTTTGTAGACTTTATCTTCCCTAAAGACAACATTTCTGCTTATCATCACTTTCTTATCTTCGAGTAACCACACCTTGAAGCCTTTAACTTCTTCAGGATAACCCGTGGAGACCCCTTTCTTGGCACAAGGATTTAACTTGCCACTGTCGGAGTGGACATACGATACACATCCAAACTTGCGTAGACCATCCATGTTACGCATCACAGAAGTCCACATCTCCTCTGGTACTCTAAACTCAATAGAAAACGACGGTGATCTGGTAATAAGATACACTGCAGTAGCTGCCGCTTCTGCCCAAAAATGTTGACTGAGACCGCTTTCACTAAGCATGCTACGGACCTTGTTCATTATGGTCCTATTCAACCTTTCAGCAATTCCGTTTTGCTGAGGGGTATACGTACACGTACGATGCCTCACAATTCCTTCTTGTTTGCAGAACTGATCAAACTCATAGTTGCAAAACTCCAAACCATTATCAGTACGCAATGTCTTGACTTTCCTCTCTGACTGAGTCTCAGCCATAGTCTTCCATTCCATGCTTTCCTCGTGTAATCATCTGTAAACGAGATGAAGTACTGCATTTGCTTAAACTCGGAGGAACATTAAGGGACCCCAATAGGTCATTGTAGACATAATAGAACTTGTCCTTAGTCACGTGTTGATCTGGCCCAAAGCTCACACGATGTGTCTTTCCTATGACAAAATCCTCACAAAATTTTAGATCCAAGGACTTGCACTCACCAAAGCATTCTTTCTTGGCCAACACCTCGAACCCTTTCTGACCAATATGTCCCATCCTGCTGTGCCATAACTTTGCTAGCATTTCACTATCTTCTGTTTGAACTGCTGTGCTTGACTCTGACTGATCGTTAACTGTGGACCGAGATTTTCCCTGGAGGATATACAGAGAATGTCTTCTTTGACCTTTCATGAAAACTGTACAGCCTTTGATCACCTTCAGAAGCCCATTAGATGCTTTAAACTCGCAACCCTTGGCTTCAAGTGTTCCCATAGACATCAGGTTTTTGTAAATTCCAGGCATGTACCTGACCTCGTGAAGCAAGAAAGTAGTTCCATCTGGATTTTCAAACCGAATTGATCCTATACCTTTCACTTCTGACAACGTAATTGTTCGCCATCTTTACCCTGCCATCACTCACTTCCTTGAAGTCTATGAACAGATCTCTTCTTGGTGTCATATGGAACGAGCAACCGGTATCCATAATCCACTCTTCTTGGCTTGAATCACCTGTACTCAAGTTAAGTTCTGACACTAGCAAACCTACTAGATCCTGAGCATCATCCTTAGCCAAAGAT